CGAACCGCCCCCGCCGCTGCCCCCGCTGGCTGGCGTCCTCCCGCGCGCCGCGCAGCCTCGGTGAGGCGCCTGCCTCGGGTCCGGCCCGGCTCGCCCCCGCCCCCCCGCGCCTCTCCCCGATCTCCACCCGCCCCTAGGAGGGCGCGGGGGCTTCCTCTCCATTTCTCGGGGAGGAGGGGGCTCCTGTGCGGCCCTCCTCCGTGTCCCAGTCCAGGGTCCCCATAAGGGCCAGATGCCAAGTCCACCGAGGCCCGGACCCCGGACTGAGGCCCGGCCTCTCCATCCCCGCCGGATGTACATATGCGTCTCCGCCACCCTGCGAGCTGGCTCCCCAGGGGCAAGGGGGAAGCCTCCCCGCGCCTCGCTCTTGCCCGCTCTCCTGTGCCCCAGCGGCACCTGAACCGCTTTCCCCGCTGGCTGCCGGGGACACGGGGGCGGGGGGTGGACGGGGAAGAGCAGAAGCAGCCCTCCTCCCTCGCGGCGCGCGGCCGGGCGGCGGAGCTGTACATACCGTGTGCAAAGTGTACATGAAGTTATTTATTCGTGACCCATGCCCGTAACCGTGTCCGTGAATCCGTGAGCCTGTGGCCTCCCCCTCCCGGGCGGGGTAGGAAGGGGCCCCGGGGGCTTGCCCACCCACCCCAGCTTCCCCCCTCCAGCCCCCACTACCCAGACCCCCTCGGGTTCTCTTCCTTTCTTTTTTAAATGTCGAAATAAACTTCTTACAAATGACCAGCGCCGGGCGGCGCTCGCGTCAGGTCCGTCTGCGCTCAGCCCGGTTCTTCCCACACCCTTGCTTCAGCCACTCCCCCCTGCCGGACCTTGCCCCCTTCCAGTCTCAAACACGGGGGCGGGGGAGGGATTTTTTTGGGGGGTCTCCTTTTTCGTCCTCGGGGCTGTGGTCGCGTTGAGGGGCCCCGATTGGACCCGCGGGGGCCCTGGGCAGTGCCTCAGTCTTCCCGGCTCTACAATGAAGCCGGGCGGCCCGCGGCGCGGAGCCGGCTCTTCTGGCCGCGACCAGGCCATCGGCAGCTGGTCACCGGCCCGCAAGTCCGACAGATGGACTCCGAGCCTCCGAGCTCCCCCCGCCGGGGGCCCCGGCCGGCTCGGGTTCGGGCTCTGGCCACCCGCGCGAGGTGGGCTTCGACCCGCCTACGCTGCGAACCTGAGGCCATTCGGACAAACCCTGGCCAGCCACCAGCGTCTCACCCCTTCTATCCCGGGAACAATCTGGCACGAGGCCCAGGGGGAGTCAAGGCTCGCAGTTTGCCTCCCAGCCTGGGGGCACCGGGTTCTCTGGGGAGTTTTGAGTGAAGTCTCCATTCACAAAAGGGCCCAGGTCACCTCCTGCTGCTGTCCCCTTTTGGGGAGAGGGGCGCAGGGACTCCGCTCCCACACAACCCGCTGCTGCCGGAAGGGCACCCAGGGCTCAAAGTTTGGGGCGTGTTTTCAGCGGGGCTGCTCTGGTGCTGGGTGGGTTGGAGGTGGCGCGTGAACACCAGCCCCCGGCCCAGGCTGCTACTGTTTCCTCCCCACCCCCACCCCCTTTCTTTCGCGGGATGGTGAGGGTCTTATTCTAATTTTGCAAAATGCACAGCAGCTAATGAAGTCAAGGAGGCCCTCGGCCTTGGAGTTCTTTTGCATGTCAATGGGGGTTGGTAAATCCTCGGCTCTGGCTGTGGTGGGGGGCGAAGGGGGATTGTCCCCAACTCAGGGTTAATGAAGTGGGAAAGGAGTCTTTCAGAGACGCCTGCAAACAACCCCCCTAGGCAACAAACCCGGCCCAAATCCTACATGGATTGACTTAAACCCAGGGGATAAGTGCTTTAAATTAATCTCATTGAATAAGAATGAGGCCAAACAAAACTCTTTAAAATCATATTAAAAATCTATCAAAGGACAACTTGCCCTGGTGTGCTTTTCATTTTGTGAAAGTGGAGGAGGGAGCCGAGAGCAACCATCCTTACATTTACACAGCAGCAGCGTAAATCAGAGACACATTCTCAACTATGTAATTGTCCTTGTACCGCAGAGGCGATTTCATATCTGACAGTAATGAAGAACAAGGCTCTCCGACACGTTTATAATTATAATATTTCACATTGTCCTGCGCTTCCCGACTGTCATAGTAACTTTACAACCTTGGCAGTTGAGGTGGGCTTTGCTTCTCAGGCAGCAGGCTCAGAGTTTCACTTTCCCACCCTCCAGTAGTGTGGTGGTGAAAGCACATGGTGGAGTCCCCAGGCGGAACCACAGGAGATCTGAAGGAGGCGTGGTCTCTCCCAGATCCTCCGTGGACTTGGCTCTCTCCCCTACCAGCCACCGGCTGGCTAGCCTGATGTAGAGGCAACAAAGTTTAGAAGAAATTCACTGCTAGCCTTCAGCTGCAAGGCTGCTGGGAATTCCTGAGAAGCACCAGTCCTGACATTCACTGAGCCTCAGTGTCCCAGGTAGAGGCAGGCCTGGCTTGGGTGTTGTTTTTCCCTGTGATGGGGAAGATTAAGAGATAAGGGGTACCATCGTGCCCGGCTATCAAAAAGTATAGCGTCTGGGGTCTTAAAGGCTTGAAGGTAATCAAGCGGCCATCAAGCTCAGAAGCAACAAAGCCCACATGGAAGAAGCACACCAGCCTATGCAACCACAAGGTGTCGAAGGGATCAGGTGTAAGGCATCATCAGAACAAAAAATCTTACCATAGTGAATGATGTGGGGAGTGCAGAGTGGAGATCCAAAGCCCATTAGTAGGCCACTGGAGATCCCCTTGCAGAGGGGTCTCGGGGAGGAGATGAGCCAGTCAGGGTGCGATGTAACAATGATGAGAAATACAACTTTCCTCTAGTTCCTAAATGTTTCCTCCCCGCTCCCACTACCATGACTCGAATTCGATCTTGCAAGTCTGGTTAGACCAGAGGAGGTACACTGGTACAGATAGGAACTGAAAATACAGGGAATCCAGGACGGATGAGCCCTATAGGACCAGTGGTGTGAGTGGCAAAACAGGGAGGGTAAAGGGAGAATGGGTAGGAAAGAGGGAACCGATTACATGGAACTGTGTGTGACCTCCTCCCTGGGGGACAGACAACCGAAAAGTGGGTGAAGGGAGACGTCGGACAGGGCAAGATATGACACAATACCCATTTATAAACTACCAAGGGCTCATGAGGGAGGTGGGTGTGGGGAGGGAGGGGAAAAATGAGGACCTAATGTCGGGGGTTTAAGTGGAGAGAAAATGTTTTGAGAAACGATGTACAAATGCACTTTACACAATTGATGTGGGTATGGATTGGGATAACAGTTGTATGAGCCCCTAATAAAATGTTAAAAAAAAAAAAGAGAGATAAGGGGTAATGGCTAAAGGAGAAATTTAACCAGTCCAGTGAGTTAAATAGCAGTTTCAAGCAGGACTTCCCCTGTGAAATGCCCTACATTTTGCTGAACGAATGTGGGATCTTAATGGCTTCTGCTGATTTTAGTAGCGGAAGTACTACCTAGCCAGGCGATTCAAAGTCTGGAAGACATATGGGGTTCTTTTTGTTCAAAACCCCCCACCCCCTTTTTTGGTCTCTAAATCTCACCTTGGTTCAATCCAGCGCACTGTGGGGGTGGGGGGGGAGGGGCGGCACACCAAATAAATATGTTGGGGTTTTGTTAAAAACAAAAAAAACCACCATAAAAAAACAAAACATCCTTTGCTGGGGTTTAGTGGTTGTGTCTCAGGCGGGAGCTCCCTGTGCATCCCTGACTTAAAAGTGGATCACACACAGGCCCGTAAACCACCAAGGGCTCTTTGCCTTTGGATGTGAGAGAATGGGGTACAGGGGGGATTATGCACCACCTTGGGGGCTGCAAACAGGATGACGCTTTGGACTTTCCATGGTGGTGGGGGAGCTTTAGATTTCGACATTTCTGTTAAATGGCCCCAATCTCAGTGATCTTAACCCAGGATCCACGTGTATGGCACAGAGAGATGGATTAAGTTGGGGAAATTAGAAAAGCGAGGCAGGATTAAAAACACACACAAAATTAGAATACGTGCAGTGGAATCAGGTTAAAGCAGGGCCTAATTGATGCTAGAAATGTACAGTCTGTCAAGAGCTGTGGCTAAGGGAGAGATTTGTTTTAGGGTTATTTAAATTTAGATGATATGAACCCTAAATCTGCTAAATCCATGTTTCCTTATTAGCTGGGTTAATATATTGATTCTACTTAGAAACAGGCCCACTAGCATCGACGTAAAGAAACCCTGATCTAAGTGTTAGCAAAGTGAAGTGGTAGTTCCCACCTAGTCACTTAGACACTTTGCAAGAGTCTAGCACTTCTTCCCCTAGGAACGTAGACTTCTGTCGATCATATCCTTTAACGGAATGAGCCCTCTGGAGAAAAAAAAAAAAGCAGGTTTTTCTCTTTGATCATCCCAAATCACTGGCCTTAATCCTGTTTCCCACAGTTGGGTTTTGTCTATAAATGTGATCCCTCCTTTTCTCATCCAAATCGTGTGAACCAGTATACCTCAAAACACAGGGACCATGGCAGATCTGCCCAAAGTTGGCTTGACATGGGCTGCGGGCTTGTCTTTATTTGATTGTTGTTATAGACTTCGCCAACTGTCCCATTAATTCTTATGTGACAGCCACATGTTTTCTTGTGTAGAAGAGCAATTCTTAGGCAGCTTATAGTTGCCCTCACCAGAGCGCCTCCAAGTGTGCTGGGGGGCTGCTTAATCTGCCTGTGACCAGAGAGGGAATGGTGGCAGGGCCCCGACTCTCCTCGCTCTCCCCGACAGGCTCTCCACTCCATCCTCTCCTGGTCCATCTGGCTGTTTGGTTCATTGAGGTGCTGTCCCAACACGCTGCTGTCTGAGCATGTCTGAGGATCGGATCACAGGGCGTGACAGAGGAGGGGGAGGGGGAAAAACTAAGGAGGAGACACTGAATGAGGAGCAACAAGAACACGCCCCAAGCAGAGGGGGCAGCTTTTCAACCCTTTTCAGCGGCCTTGGATTGTCCGTGTCCAAATCTTACATTTATTGGGAAATCGATACACCCAGGGGTCTTCTTGCAAACCTCCCAGGAAACACAATGGGGAGGAGGGGAGTCCTGACCCAGGTCACAGTACAAAGACCTCAGCTCTTTCTAGAAGATGGGATTTGGTGGGGAGTGGGGGTGGGGGGAGGAAGGTGGGTGTTGGGAGGCTGTGAAAATTAACTCGGGGCACTAGTGCCTTCTGACTTCAAAGGCAAATAATAAAAAGGCCACAGCAGTCAATTATCCCTTAGGGGGTGTGCTTCCAGAGGGGGGAGAGCCTGAGAAGGCACAGCCTGGCTAGGAAGGGAGTTTCCAGCGAGGGGGCTCACGCGACAGAAGACACTTGAGGAGCTTTGACCTGCATCACAAATTCTTTTGGCTCTTTTCTTAACACAGCATTTAAACATAAAGAAAACGATTAGTTGAAAAACCTATCTTCTTCCCTCACACAAATTCAATTCCGAGTTTTAAACCCTGACTTGATAAAGTTCATGCCATCCATGTGCAGGTGCACTGATGCTCGCAGGGAAGCTTCTTTAGGCTGTGCTAGGGGCAGGCAGCATCCCACAGAGTGCCTGGCTTCTACCAAGACCTGGTGGCATCCACGTGGGATAAGGGAGAAGACAAGGGAAGTTAGCCGGCTACCTCACACTGCGCACACCTCCCCACACTCGCCCTCGCCCCAGAGAGGGCTCTGGTTCTTCGATCCTCTGAGGGACATCGGGATTAGTGCAAGGCACAGTTGTGGTCTGGTCCCAGGGCTCCTTGGACAATAACCCAGGAGCCACACCGGGCGGGGCCCAGAGTGGCAACAACTTTCTGGTGAGTCCTGCTTTCCCCTCCGTGAGCTCCTTCTGAGTTTTCCCCAGGCTTCTGGGGGATAAAAAAGTGTTATTTTCTTCCCTACGCCAGAGCCTGGGCACACCTTGCAGGTCAGCTCTGTCGTGGCTGGTTCCGGCTTGTCCCCGTTAGCTTGGCTTTTTGGCCTTGGCACCGCCGGCGTCCAGTCCACTTGAGTATTCTGAGAGCAGGGTTTCAGCAAGGCCACGGTGCCTCCTCTGGGTCTTCCTACGCAGGGCAGGCCTGGAGAAGAGAGCAGCAGAGGGGAAGGGCTTCATTATTACCCTTGCGCTTTCCCAGTGGCTAAGGGACTTGCGGCTCCTTCCAAGGCTGTGAAACTGCCTTTTTTGTTGTTGTTTGGTATCAACAGAAGTACCTTCAACAGGGCTTATTTTGATATTCTATGCACTAGAAGATTAGATACGGCACTGACAGATTTTCAGAACAGTGGCAAAATACCATGGCATTTTCAAAGTGCGGCTTTGTTCTGTGTTGTTTTCATGGGGGGGGAGGGGATGTGAGGTAAGGAGAATTATACGTACTCACACTCTCAATGCAAAGGAGGTGTAGGAGACCACTGTTTGCCCAAGCAGGGAGAAAAACCAGCAGCCCCTAAACACACATCACACGGGGAACGGAAGCCCGCAGGCACCTTTCCAGCCAGGCCTGGGAAGTTCAAACCAACAGGCCTCCCAAAGGGCACTGCTGGTCCTGGGGCACAGACCTCAGGTACAGAGGTCCCCAGGCTGGGTACACCCAGCCACAGCCAGGGACGCTCAGCACAAACACCTCTGCTTGGATGCACCAGCCTGTAAGAGAGAGTTCGGATCCGCACAACCCAAGCCTGGCAGGGCCCGCCAGCCCCATTGAGGCCCCCGAGGCCTGGAAGAGAGGGGCTCCCCGACAGCCACACCTGGAGAATGCCAAAGGATGAAAACCAGCTCCAGCAGCTGAATCACAGCAACCATTTTCAAAAGACAGCAGCCGTGCCACTTGATCAGAGGATCAGAGGAAGACATTTGTAAGAGTTCAGTCATGTGCAGGAACACTGATTAAGAGCACGGAAGACAGGGTTTTACCCAAACGACGAGACAACCGCCACATTGGAACTCCCTCAACACCCCAAAGGCAGGCTTGTCGCGGGGTTCTGCACAGGCAGGGCCACGCGAGCTTCTACTGCTGGCGAAAGCTCACTGGACTTGCTGTCCGTAACAACCTGGAGAACAAATAGGACCGAACTTGTGGGAACAATAAATATGACGGTTCTCTAAACACCAAGCATTAGAAACAAGACCAATAACTGCGCTATTAAACTGAAAATAAAAGGCTGCACAATCCTGTATATAGCATTATAATGATGTTAGAGCAATGATACCCATTTATAATTACACTCCAGAGGATAGGGTTCAAGTAATGGTACAGCTACATCCATGCTACAGCTGCACGATGGTTTCTTTTGTCACTGTCACGTGTGGAAAGACAGTCACCCTGGGTGATGGGGGTGGGGGAGCGGGGCCTTCAGGCGAGGGAACCGTACGGACATACTGTTGAAGGGACACAGCTGAGCACAAAGATCAGAACTCTCTGAGGGAAGTACTTTTGAGCCCTGTTCGTATTATCTCACCGAGTCCTCACTTGATGAGGTGCCTCCTCTCACTACACTCATGTTACAGAGAAGCAAGCTAAGACTCGGGGAGGCCAAGTAACCTGCCGGAAGCCAGCGGGCTCACAAAGCCAGGTCAGGCTGCTGCCGCATCTGATGCTGTGGCCAGCGGAGTCACTTCAGGGGGACAAGGGGGTCAGAAACAGGAAGATGGAGGGGGGCGGGGTGTGTG